CAATGAATGAATGAATGGAAATCCAAAGTCTCTAAATTTTCATTAAAATTAATAATAATAATAAAAACTTTAAAAAAAGTTATTGTACCCATGTCTCTATCAAAACAGGAAAAGAGACACTGCATATGCAAAGTGATATGTTTCTTTTGGCCTTTGTCACCTGTTTATATCTTTTGCTTGGCCCTAAAGATAATTGAGATTGCAAACTCTACCATAAACGCATAGACCATTCTTAAACGTCTCCTCCAAATGACACCCTACTATACATGCCCTGCCTCTCTAGGCTACAACATGCTCCAGGGTTAGTCCTGAGCAAGCCCAGGAAGGGATACTGGATCACAGAAGTTAATCAAAGAATAGACTTAAATTAACTACATCATTAGGAAGGGTTAGGATAAAATGTTAATACTCTCTGTCTTTTAATGGCAAAAAAAAAATAAAAAAATAAAAATTAAAAATAAAAAAAAATCATAAGAATGCTTTAGAAGGACTTTAAAACACTGGGTCAGTGTGAGTTTGGGTTTCCACAGCACATTACTGCCCATTCCTTGAAAATTCGACCGTGGCTGGCACATTATTTGCCCTTGAGAGAGATGGCGATCTTGACACAGCTCAGGCGCTTATTTTTGTAGCTTAGGATGCTCTCAACGCGGTAGTTTCCAGTGCTGAGCCAGCTGGGCAGGTCCAGGTCAGGCAAAGCGAAATCAGACTTGGGCAGCGCATAGGTCCCCTGCAGGAAAGCCAGTGCACCATCGGTCAGAGGGAGCCTAGGGATAGGACCACTTCCTAAAGCAATCACTAAGATGACAGCCTTGGGCTTCTCTCTTAAGAGCTACACAAGATTAGAGATTGCCGTTGCTCTATGTAGAATGAAATTTTATAGCCTTGGAGAATACATCCACACTTAAGTGTCCCATTTCTCAGATGGACAAACTGAGGCCCATGGAAATTAGATGGTTTGGGATGGGTCATATCAACCTACTCCACATCTACAAGAGAAATCTAGGGACTTTCTCTCTAAATCCCAACTCTTTACTCCAGCTATGGGGATAATGTCCTCCCTCCCAAATACTCACTGGTTTGAATGGACAGTGGCATGGAAGCCCATAGGCATGCAGGGGCTCAGGGCACAGCTCGCCAGGGGGAATGAAGTTGTCAAGTACACTGCAGAAGTCGTCAAAGGTACAGCTGCCAATCTGTTCCACACATGGAATCTTGATCCAGAAGCCTCCAACTTCCCTCTCTAGTGTTAATTCTACCTAAGGAGGAAGAATTTGAAAAGGGTTACAACTGGAATCACAGAATGTCTAATGAGATGGGAGATTAGAGAACACGTGATCCTGAGGGGACAGTATAGAGGTGCATATACCAATATCATTCTTTTCTATAACGGATTTTAGTAATTGATTGTTATTTCTTTCCCCTCTTCCACTTCAGTGACTCACATATAGACTTATTATTCTGCAGGTAATCATCAACCATTGATTAGAGCTAAGACTTGAATTGAAATCCACTGGTCACTTAACTGCTAACTGTAGCACTGTCTACTGGACTTTCTTGGAAGAAGAGTCTTGATCCTAGAACTCTCTTTTACAAAGGATTTCAGGCAGCTCCAATCAGGTGATTGGTGTTGGTAATCCAAATACATTTGATGGGGACAGAAAAAGAAGGTGAAGTGAACAGAGGCTCCCAATTACTCACCGGCAACTAACCAACTGAGCAATGAATAAACACAAACACACTGAGATCTCAGACTCTGGATGATAACTGAATATTGGAGTGTTAGGGTAAATCCAAAAGCAGAGAGAAGTGAGGACAGAACAGAAACTGTAGGAGAACCTCTCTTCCAAGATCAGGAGTGTCTGCTTATTGAAGCAAATGATTCATATGGCTCTTTGAATCACAGCCATCATTCTGTGATATACTGTAAATGTGTGTGTG